TTCCTGATCGGAAAGTAGCTGTAATTCAATATGGCTGCACATACATCCATTTAAACTAAGTGTTGTAACTCTTAAATATCTTAAAATGAAAATAAGCACTGTTTACTTTAATTCTAATGTAAAAGGCACTACTGCTTCCAATAACTGGTAAAGGACATTATAATCTGTATGATAGGGTAATTGTACAAATTCCAATGTTGTAGCTATTTAGACACTCCCTGTTACACATGGTCCTAATCTTTAATATGTATTTTTCTTTTAGTTCACTAAAATATTATGGGTTTCATTTTCATGCAGCTGAAAAGATAAATGTCCTTTCCCATGTTCCCATCAGAATTCTGTGTGTTCTGGGAGGTTAAAAAATTATAACTCAGCTGTTCCATACTGTATTAAGACTGAAATTTGGCATCCCAGATGTGAATTTGTTTCCAAAAGGAAACAGAATCTGGTAAGGTTTCTTTTTAGAGGAAAAAATATTTTATAGGCTTAACTTATATTTTAAAAAGATTCATATTGTTTTATTTTAAATAAAATTGTACACAATTTTATTTAAAACCCTTTGGGACTTCTGAAGAGTAAAAACGCATATTAATCTAAATTTTTTACCTTTAAAAACAGGCCACTGAAAACGCAAAAGTTGTAGAATCTTAATCAGTGACCCAAAATACCTGCTTGCCTTTATTTTAAGTGGTATATTCTCAAAGGGGCTCCCTCTGCCCAAGAGGAGTTTATTTTTGCAAAATAATAATAACATTTTATTGTGTGGTAACCATAAGTCAGGCTCAGATCTAACTCTTTATGGGTAGTGACTCATTTAATCCCCTTGACCGACACCTTGAGATACATGCTATTATCCCTATTTTACAGGTGAGGAGACTTCCTAAGGTCTCACATTAGTAAGTGGGGCAGCATGGATTTGAACCCTGGCAAGCTGGCTCCAAAGCCCACATTCTTAACTACTAGGTGTACTGCCCTCTAATCATAGTCATTTCCTAAATCTTAAATTCACTCAACATTTAGTAAGTGCCTATTAGCTTACGTGCCGGGCTTTGTACTAGAGATGGGGGGGGGGAGGGGGGGCAGTGAGAATGGGGTGGATCTGGAGTGGAGAAAAGGGAGAATAAAGTTTTAAAAGGACACAATTCCTACCACAATTTTGCAGATCAGATGGACAAGACTCAATGACAATAATACGACAGTAAATCCTGCATTTTCCAGTTGGTTTTTCCAGTTTGGGGAATTGTGAGACCGGGTAGTTAACGTCTCTGAGGCATTTGGGTCCCTCTGGATGAGATAACTGCATGCCCAGACCTGTCTACCTGTGTTAAGGCCCTCTTGTCCCACTAGAGACATTTCCAAGGGCCACCCTTCTAAAAAAACCCCAAAACATGGTGGTAAAGTCCTCATCAATGTCACTCTGTTATTTTCCCTCAAACTCCAGTGGACATCAATAACATGCCTTTGGATGTGGTTGCTTTGAAACCACTGGCTCTTAGCACTCTGTCATACATAAGCCAACTGTTAAAGTGTCATTAGCAGAGACCCAGACAGAGATGACAGGTGTAAACAGTTTATAATTTACAAAGCGCAGGATCAGGTTTCTCCTGCCCTCTGCCAACAGCTCACAAACACACCTTAGCTTGGCCCTGTGAGTGCACCGCAACACATTCTTACAGGATTGTTTTTACATAAATCCTATTTGGTAACATTTTGGTCATTTGAGTCCCTTTAACTGTTCATTCAAACTATGCAAAGCTATTGGTTGATTTCTGAGATAACATTTCAAAATGCCCTGTCCAGCTAAATAAACACATGTGCCTTGGAATATTCCGAATGGACTGTCTTTCTACACTTCACTGTAGGTTTCCTTCTTTGTTTTTCCCTTTTTTAACCCATGGTGCTCCTACGCAGTGGAGATGCAGGTTCGAAATGGCTAGCCTTTGAAGAGCCCTGCCATTGTCGCTCTGCGTGCAGACGTGGGACTTCTCACACCTTCTAAGTCGGCCCTACTTAGCCACCTTCTGCATTTTTCACTGCTGACATGTTTCAGTAAAACTCTGACTAACTGGAATACTTAGGGGAGGGGGTTCTGGTTGAACGATTTCCTGGTTAAATTGAAAGTTATTTAGAAAGCCCTTGTTATTGAAAATCTTTCCAAAGTACATCAGCACACTTTTCTCTGGAGTGAGGCAGCAGCGCTGGAGAAACATTGTACATAGCTGTTTGGAAGGGCTGCAAAACAAATTTAGCAAAGCTGCTAACTGCTCTTCAGTCCTTTCTTTTGCTCGAAAGCTGCCCCTCTCTGGATTGGTGAGGCAGCAGGGATTCCAAACCCTTACTATTCTCTTCAAAACCTCTTTCTCTCATCTAAACGGAGGCCTCACGTCCCACCAAGGGGATAAAACAAAGACCAGGAGGCCATTAGCCCTCCCCTTTCCTTCCTCCACCTCCAGGTTCCACTCCCTCCAATGTCCACTTGCATCAAAGGCTGACTCCTCCTTCACTTGTGTTCCAGATCATTCTCTCCAGCCTCCCCTATGAGGCTACCCATCTCTTTGCCCTTTCTGTGGTAGTTTCATTTTCTCCCAATCCACTGACATGCCCATAAACATTCCTGTCTCCCTATTCCAAAAAAACCTTTCTCTCCATCTTTCCTTCCCTTGAAGGCTAAGTCCTTGATTTCACTGCCAATCGCCAAGGGTCGGTACAGCTACGACCTGCATTTACTTCCTGACCTCCATCCACTCTATAGCTCTTTCCCTTCTCCTGTAACTCCACCAAAACTGCTCTCACAAAGGCCATCGATGACTGGTGACTGAATCTAATGGCTTTATCTCAACAAACCTTGCTGATTCTTCCTAAATACAGCTAGAATTTCTTCCCTTCTCTCCATCTCTGCTGCCACCACTCCTTTGCTGAACTTCACGTGTATACAGCATAAATCAGATCTTGTCACCCCCTTCACTGTTTCCCAGCACACCTGGAACAACATGCAGAACTTCCTAACAGGCCACAGGCCGCAGCCCTGCAGGCGAGCTCTGCACCCACCTTCACCACCTTCCAGCCAAACTGTGTTTTGGATCCTCAAATACCCTACAACTCCTCGTCTGGAGCTGTTTTCACCCCAGGTTCTCTCTGCCTAGAGAACTCTTCTTTCTGACTTCCCCTGGCTGGCTCATCCTCCTCCTGCAGGTCTTACTTCAAATGTTACCTCCTTGGAGAGACATTCTGTGACCAAGCCATCTGTGTGGGCTTCTGACACCCGCTCCTCACCATAATGTTCTTTTTCATGGCACCCCATTCTTTCCCTTCAGACTAGTGACCACAAGCTATAATGGGAAATGCACTTCTGTGCTTCCTGGTTGAATTATCTTTTGCCCCCACTAGGCTGTGGGGCCCGGAGTCCGTGGATCACATCCTTTTTATTCACCACTAGACACCCAGTGCTGAGCCCCGTGTCAGACACATAGTTATTGAAAGACTGAATGAACAGATGACAACTTTATACTTTTACAACAGAAGGCCTTTCTAGAAGGACTACAGAAGCTTAACCAGAAACATAACTCAATAAAGAGCAGCTGAAGAAATTCACATTTTAAGCATCCTAGCATTTGAAATGCCTTACTCATCTTTACACATAGGTAAGTCAGGCCACTTGGCCTGGAGGAGAAAAGCACTTAGCATAATACAAATATGTGTCCTTTTATAAGGAAATAAGGGTCTAAAGAGAAGCACAGACATTATGTTGATAGTAGTGAGTAAAGTGGCCTGCAGGAAGGAAGCAGGACGGGCCAGGGATAGGACAGCCCCTAACTCAAGTGAGAGGAGTACAGAGCGCAGAGTAGAAGAAGCGGGACGATGGGGGTAAATTTACCCAGCTGGGGAGGCTAAAGTTAGACCCAGTAATAAGGTCGTTGACCTGGCCAGGAAACAGGGAAGCTGGGTAGCAAGAGGGATGCAGAACTGCAAGTCTGCACAAACGCAAAGCTGGCTTTGCAATGGTTAGGGGAAAAGGACAGGAAGGATTTGGGTGGAGATGAATAGAAACTGCAGTGATGAGCAACAGGCACAGTGGTCGAAGGAGGCTGTTGTGAGTACTTATGAGTAAGCAGCAGGAGTTTCTCGATAGGCACATGATCTTTGGATTTTGAACAATCAGAAACTGAGATCAAGGTAATAATACGGTTATAACTGACTTCGTATCCAATCAGCAACACAGGGTAATTGCATTGATCATGTTTCGAGTATTAGAGGGGAATGTAAACTCCAAGAAAGAAGGCTGCCATCAGCTGGGGTTCAACTGGAGCCACAGAGCATCCCCTTTCATACCGATGTCCTGCTCATTCCAGAGGCTGACATACCCCGAAAAACGGGGCTGACACTGAGCTGAGGGAGAAGTTGGAAATAGGCAGCACCTTTCACTGAAGGTTCAGCTTTTAAATAGGTCATATTAGAACTAGAGGAGTGGAGCTTCTGCTTCAGAGACTCCTCCTACAGATGACTTTGTAAAACAGATTACACCCACCCCCTGGATTTTTTATGGATCCTGATTTTCCTATATTGAGATGGCTTACAGCAGGCGTCTTCTATGTCATTTGAAAGCAAGAAGAGCACGAATCATTTTGCATAGCCTTTTAGCTTTTTAGGCATTTTTAAAAAAACACTAAAAAAATTAAATGCCAACCCCAAATTACTCAATAAACTCAACCCTATTTTCTCAAAAGGAAATGACTTCAGATAAAGATGCCCACCTAGCTTTTAGTTCACCCAGCTCTGTCTACCTACAGGGAACGTAATTTCCTCTGCACAGAAAAGTTCTCTAGAATCATCGGTTAGAAAATAGACATTAAGCAGAGTGGTGAAGCAGCAGCCAGCACCAGTAAATTTGCCTTCATCTCCCTCCGCCCCGCTGTTGCAATTAGATTAGTTCTTTAGTATTATTTTAAGAGTGATTGGAATTTAATTTTAGTTGGGAAGAGCTGAGTCCATTGTTTACTTACAAACAAACAAAAGAATCCTCTCCCCAGCACTAGGATTCCTGCTTGGCTGGTTTTAAATAGATGAGGCTGACCAGATATTTACCATCAGCTTGGTGAAGAAAGAGACATTGTCCTAGAGAGCCAAAGTCATGGGAACTCAGTCCACACAGTGATGCATTGCTAACTGGGAATGGACTATGACCAATCAAAGGCTCACTGTACATTTCATGGAGGTGGGACCAAAACAGGAAAAGAAAAAATAACTAAGTGCCAGCATGTTGGGAAGACATCATTGCAATAAAATTGTGAAACAAACACTGGCAGGCAAACAACCACCAAACAACAACGAACTGCAATATGCTTATCAGGGTTTGACCAAGAAAAAAGGCCCCCGATCTTTCAGAGGACACTGGCAAAAATCCCAGTCCTGCAACTCCTGAATAGCTCCCTGTGCAGTGTTTCCTCCAGGTACGGCATTGTCAGCGGCGAGATGTTCTCAGCAGTCAAGGAGCAGCTGCACAATGCAAGCAGCCTCTGAACGGTCGGAGAGCTCTTTATTCAGGCCTCGTGTGATAAAAAAAAAAACAAAAAAAAAACTGGTGTTCTTTTGTGCTTTACAAAGGAAGTACTTTTCTGGCTCCAAGTTCAAGACTCATGGGCTATTAGCAGAGGCAAGAGGGACACTGTATTAGCATGTGTGAAAAAAAAGGAATAGGCGTTCCTTAAAATCAAGTCCATAATAAGAGCAGCCCGGTATCTGGAACACCTACCTAGACAGGAGCAGCTCCAACTGCAGTTAGAAGGTAAGTATTTTGACTCCTGTGTTTTGATGAAAATCTTTTGGCAACAATCTCACATACACAGACGTACACACACACACACACATGCTCACTTGCAGAGAACCACAATAGGAAACTACAGCATGTATTCAGAATCAATACATTTCTGGAAAGTAGTGTGGTGACAGAAACTGGAGCACAGAAAACGTAGAGCCAGGAGAGCATCTCCTGCAACACCTCAATCTCCAGAGAAGCAGCCTGCTTTCCTGGGGAGGTTAAGTGACTTACCCAAAGACACACAGATACTTTATAAATAAATCAGTTCTGAACACCCCTGAGGGAAGACGTCCTGGTACTTCCACACTACCCCGCATCGGAGACAGCGTTTAGGGCTCAGTGGAGACCCGATTTTAGGTTTTGCCTTCAGTCCAGTCTAGACTCGATCCCCCAGCACTGTTGTTTTCCAGCTGTGTGACTGAGGGAAAAATTCTTTTGTTCTTCAGAATCTCAACTGATTTAACTAAAAAATGGGGTTAATAGGAACACATGCCTTTAGGGTTGCTGCACAGATTAAGTGAGCAAATAGCAAGCACTAAATAAATGTTGGTTACTGTGATCGTTGCTATTTGAAGTAGTAGTAGTATTTTCACCTTCTTAGGAATTTTAATACGTTTAGAAAAAAGGGAAAAAAATAACAGGGAGGACATAAAAAATAGCCACAAAGGTTTATGACTAAGCATATGGGGAATAAATGCAGGCAGGTCATACAAGCAAAACGTCTAATTGCTTTATCTGCTCTTAAAAACTTAGGTCAAATGCTTTGTAGGAAGAACAATCTGCCGTCTTTGCACATGAGTATTATACCTCTTATCCATCTACGTGGGCTCAATGGTTTGAGTTTGTTTTTTCCAAAGTTAGTAACAGGCGTTTATTGATTCTTTGCAAACGTTTTATCTTCCTCTAAATAACTTATTGCTGAGCATTTAAAATTTTTTTTTCTGATAGTGGGTGTCCTGATGGCCAAGATGCAATGCCACTTACTGTCCTGAGATGTCAACCTCACACATGTGGAGCCACCCAGAGTGTTGGCATAATGACTTTCTTTCAGGTCCTTCATAGTCTGTTCTTCTAGCTCTACCATTTGACATGAGTTCCCAGCACAGTTCTCTTCCGAGGAACAGAATTTTAGTTAGTGTTCTTAAATGTGCCTTTGCTTCCAACAACAGTTTATAACATTTTTGTCTGTTATCTTATTTAACCGGTTATGTATCTGTTAGAATATACTTAATAGCTGCTTTTCATGTACTTATAGTAATTATACAAACAGTGCATGACGATCTTCTCATGGCAAAAATAAAGACATAAATAAAACAAACATTATAGAAAAAGCTAAATTCCCACTTGACTATCACCCCTAATCTCAAACCCCAGCATACAACACTCCCAGCCTATCCCACCTCAGAGGCGTCCAACTACTTTGCAATTTCCTATGTATTTTCTAGAGTTTTCTTTTTCTTCTTTGCCTTTACATGTTTATTTAACCATTTTCCTTTTTTGTAAATATATTCTTAGAGTTGGCAATATTTTTAGATGGAAGTCATTCATAGCAACTAAGAAAATATCATTTTCAATCATGTGTTCTGCAATCAAGCAAATTGTTCTTGGTTATATATAAGGTATAATTTTAAACATCTACACCTTATCCTTATGTACCACAACCCATTGCCCCCAGGTCTGGAAGTTAGAACAAACAGCATTTCTTTATTCAGCACTAGACAACTTTCGACATTAGGGTTTTCGCTGTGATAGTCTGGGCAAGCGTTGTGTGGTCGTTCTGCTTCCTATAGCTGGAGGCGATATTTGCTTGCTTTCGTAGTTTTTGTCTGTTTATTTATTTTTATAGTTTTCTTTCCGAAATTTATGTCACATATTCCTAATTCTAAAGCTGTTAAAGATCTGTAGACTACTGAATATGCGTATAATCTGACATGCTATGAAAAGCATTCTCCCTGTTTTGCAATCCAAGAACAAAAGAAATCATTGATAGTCATGACTTGTAAGAACTGTCCTGTCCGGGCAGCTGTGCTGGGCAGTGTGCAGAGCTGCCATCCATACTCTTAGGTTATCCTTCAAAGAAATGGCTCCCAATATTCTAATATGGTAACCTTGTATCTTTCATTGCAATACATTTTAATAATTCCTCTAATGCTGACAGGTATGGCCTTTCTTTAATTTGTGCCTGATTAATTACCCTCATATCATGCAAAAACATATAAAATAACTGATGGATTTCCTTCAATACCTTGATTTTCACTACTAGAATTGTTAGCACCATCTCCATCAGTGGGAGATGCTCAAGTGAAATGATTTACAGGGTCTTTGAAGTCAAGATACTTTATATTTTAGTTTTTATTTTACTTCTGTCCTGGACTTTCTTAACCTCTTGATTTTTGTGTAAAATTTTAATTATTTAGGTCATTGGACACATCAATTGTTCTTCCCAATGTATCTTAAACTAAACTAGATATATAGAATGACTTTGTCATCATTACAAGCTTGGCAGCACAGGGGCCATCTTCTGCCCCATGCCTGTGTGTTGTCTCCACCATATGGGAGGTCTGTATTCCTGGATAAACTTCTGCTTCAGGTGTTCACAAAGACGTCTTGATTTCTGGCTATAGCTTCTGTTTCCAGTTACTCCTCCTGGGAGGGCCCAGCCCCTGTCATACTCTGAAACCTAGAAGAAATGGAGTCCCTTGTCATTCCCACACATCACGTTAATCTCTCACTATCAGAACCATGATATGTCAAGTTAAGGGACTAGGGCATGAAGTTGCATGAGTTTTTCCCAAAGATTCCCTGTTTGCTTATAATCAGGCATCCCTCATATTTCATAGAGACTGATGTTATGTGTATGCATGTGTTATATACCTAATTTCAAGAGTGAGAGAGAGAGAAAAAAAAAAACTTGGCCTGAACTATCATTTTTCACTTGTGTCTTCCTTGGCAGTTTATTCTCATCTGACTGGCACCAATACCAGCCAACGACTTCTACTTCAGATCAGCATCTTTTGGCACTTCGATGACAGTATATTTCTGCATGGCTGATTGCAGACAGGAAAAAATCTTGTGCAAATAATATTTCCCATTAACAACACTGAATTGATGTCAAAGCTCTCAATCCATCCCAAGACAATAAAATTCACAAGCATGATAATATTAATATGACAATGTAAATGACTTATGGTGGAGAATGTTCTGCCCCACTTGATACTAATTGTGGAAAAATAAAGGAGTCAGATCTGGATCTTGTCTTTCTCAGGCTGCAAATGCTTGATAACATTCATGCGGATCAGCTGTGATGGGTGGTGGGGGTGGAGGGGGAACACAATAACAGTTGAATCACATGCTGGCCTGGCTACACAAAATGCTAATTAGCGATGATCCCTGTGTCCATTGCATTTTAAATACTCAAAATAAGAACTCAAATTAACACCACAGATCTTTTATCTAAACCTGTTGTGTTAGTTTTCAGAAGTCCTCTTATATCTATTGTATGTGGGGGAGGGGGAAAGGAGAGTCACCAAAACTATTATTTATTTTTTAATGATAACTAGCACTCAAGGATATTTGAAAGTAATATTCTTAAAAGGCAACAACCCCGGACTAACATGACTAAATAAAGGGTTAATTACTGTGCATGTTCCTATGCTAAGAGGCCACCCACACAAGTTCATTCTGTCAGTATCAAGCTTGCGTATTGTCATTACAAGTTCAAACACTAATTAATAGTTAGAGTGAACTTGGTAACATCTTACACATGAATGGGTATCTAGGGCAGAAGAAAACCTTTAGTTCTTTAAGATGCTTTATTTATCCAGTTAAGCAGTCTCGTGTGCAGAAGCACATGTTATATCTTGGGAAATGCACTGGTGGTTGCCCATTTGTTTTCTTCTCTGTGTTTTCTGAGGATTCTGTCTCTGCTGCTGGGAGGGCAGCCTGCAGAGACATCAAGAATTCAGTCTCTTTGTATTCCATCTTCATCTGAGAGACAGGAATTGGTGTGAAATTTTTTTAAAGACTTTGGATAGAGAGTTTGAGGTCATCATTTCTTATATCCTTTGCTGTTGTTATTTGCCAACCAAATCGTGTAAGGTCCAGGAGGCATGCGCCGCTGGAGCTGCGACCATAAGTGACCAGTATTCTGGTGTTTCTATAAGTCAGAAATCTGGATCCTTCTTTGAGAAATAAAGTATCTTCTAAAGGACACTCAGTATTTGCCTTGTCCTTTTCATTCCCAGGAGACCTCTCCCAAACCTCTTTACATACAGATAGCATTTTCAATGGCCTTTTTTTTTCATAGGACCCTGACTGTACCTTCATCTTGCATTAATAGGGTTCAGGACCCACTTGCTTTCTCCCCTCTCATTTACTTTAGACTGCAGGGAATTTAAAAGCAGCACAGGTCCTTAGGACTCCTGCATCAGAGAAACTGAAAAAGAGAAAACTTTTAAAGGCAAGTATCATACTCTTCTAAGATTCCACAAGAATCTGGATTTCTTTTAAGGTGAAGTTTGACTATTTGCAGACACTAGCAGATCGGGGCAAAACCTACGGGGGTTGTCATCACTTTAAACTCTAAATAAAGCTGGTTCCTGCGTCACATTGGAGAAACAGGAAGTGTCTGTGGCTGAAGGGTACAAAGAGCAAGGAAGCGAGGGCAGTGGAGCCTCTTCCGCGCAGAACTACCTAGTTCACTCTCCATGTCTTCATTTCTCTGGGCTGCCAACGATCTTGTTTACTTCCAGAGGCTGCTGCTTCAGCACCGCTTGAACCTTCTCCCTGATCCTTTTTGTCATTTTGGAGATAGCAACATTTTCCATTTGTAACACTGAGATTCTGCGAATGTAGGTCTATTTGAATACTCACAAAGCCCAAGCAGCATATCACAAAATTGAAGGGTTTTTTCCCCTTGAGCTCAGAAAATACCAGCTTTTCTCTTTCAAGATGATGTCAATTCCATTTTTCAACTTCTATGGGAGGAGGATTGGTTTTCTGTTATGACTATAACTGAATTCCTTTAAGTCAGAGAAGTGCTGCCTTTCTATTTCATTATGAATTAAATTTTACTTAGTGTTTCTGGAAAACTCTTACAAGATCCCTGGGTTTGGTAAAACCCCCTCCCCCTGCTTCCTCTTATGTAGCATGTGAGCAAAATGACCCAGTTCAGAAGAGGTTCTCTCCCACTTGGAACCACTCTACTCTCACGTTTTCTGAGGTAGTCCTCAGAACCACAGATATATCTCAATCTTTCTTTTTTCTCTTGATTTAGTTTCTGCTGAAAATACTTTTTTCTTCCTGGAATAATTCTCATTATTCTTGAAACATAACAGGCTACATAGAAATGTCTGCTAATGTAAAAACAAAGCTTATCCTCAACATTTAGACTTGTTACATTTTTAAATGAGGCCAAGAATTTCATTGTTTAATTCAGAATGGTCAAGACTGATCAACATGGGGGAAGCATTAGATCTTCTCCAAAGGATTATAATCTGACTAGTTTCCGACCTTCCAGGGCTGTTTAATCCAGATTAGGTAGCAACAATACCACACCCACATGCCGACAGGAGTTTGTGCTGGAAGAAGAAAAAGAAGCCAATGGGACAATAATGATAAGGCAAACAGATGGGTTTAGATAATGTGGTCAAGCCTCATTGCTCCTGATGAAGTCTCCAATTTGCTTACATTCCTGCCCAAACTCGCGCTTTTCCTGTTTGTGGTAGACTTCGAATGTTTTCTCTTCTCCTTTACTTCTCCATTTAAGTTCTTTAATCTTTGTGGCAGCTCTTAAAACACATTGGTGGGTCTTTGATTACATGACTGTCAATGTTCTCTGCTGCATTTCTCATGCAGATTAAATGCACCTTGGTAGAGATAGGAAAAAAAGAATTCTCATTAGGGAAACATTCCCTAATGTTTCCAAGAAATAACTTGTGTACTGGAAAAGCTGGGAACAGACACTAGTCCTTCTTTCAGCAACGTATTTACACTTCTGGGTTATTACTGTTGAAGGCACTCCTTCCAACCGCTGTCACTACGGGTGGCCCTTCCTTATCAGAGTTGGTTTCTGGGATCACTGAGGAGTCTCCTTCCCAGTCCTCCTTCCCGAGCGTGGGGTCAGGCACGATCTAGGGCACGGATGTGGTTTGCAGTTTCCTTGTGTACTTCTCAGGACAGGCCTCCCACGACCCTCAGAATGGAGTCTGCCTGCCAAGCAGGACTGAGATCATTATATCAAAATGTTACAAGGACAAAAACGGATTTGTCATTACTGTGATATCATCATTTCTAGTCAATGTTTCTCTAAGTTGGTATTTATTGCTTTTAGACTTTGGCATAAAAGGTGATGTGGAGAGGGTTTATCTGCAGCCTCACCCTCCACTGTTACAGGAAACTATGTCCCAGGCTTATTCATGTGCTACCTAATGGACGTGGTTGCACTGGAAAATGGCAGCTCAGAGTGGGAAAGTAGAGACAAAGGCTGACCTCGTCTCTCCATGTAGGACTGGAGATGCCACTCAGATGTGGTGAAAACCTGCTCTGAAAGGGGAGACTTCTTGGCCCCATCCAGTTCTGCAGTCCATCAAAACTGCAGGGGTGATGGTAGAAATAAATCCTCATTTGCCTTTTAGAATTAGGGGGACACAGTACTGAGCTATCCTGTGAGGTTGTTAGGACAATTCAGGTTGTTTGTAAAGGCAGCAAAGCATTTTGGAAGCAGGAAGATTTAAGAAAATGAGAAATCATTTCAATCATAAGTATGTGCTGGAAACCAAGGGCAGAGTCTTAGTTTACTGGAGTCAAAGGTCTGAAACCTGAGGCTAGCCGTAATCCTAAAGGCCACTGAGATTAGTGTCACTCTTCTTATCACCAGCTCTCTCACCTCAGCGCCATTTGCCTACGTGGCCTTGGGGCTATGAGGCAAATACTGGGTTCCCATGACTCCACAGGTACAAGCATGTCAAGGTCCAAGTTAACCACTTCCCCGAGACACTCTGATTGTTTTATATCTTGAAAGATAAACTACCAACAAATACCATCACATCCCTGCAATGCTGTTAGCTAGCTGTCTAAAAATAGTTTGTTCCCCTTTTTTTCTAAGACAACTCCATTTTTGCACCCCACACTCCACATATCCTCATATCTCATGTCCACGTGTCCTTTGGACCAATGCCTCTCAAACACCAATGTGTGCACCAATCGCCTTGTTAAAATATAGACTCATCCCCAGTTGGTCTGGTGTGGGGCCTGAGCATCTGCATTTCTAATAAGCTCTCAGGTGATGCTAATGATGCTGGTTGGTGGGCCATACTTCCAGAAGCAAGGCTTCAATCACTTGTCAACCTGAGCACAGGGCTGTAACTAGGTAATGACTGGGAGCCCTTCCCCAGAGTCAGCAGACTCTCCAGCTTGCCTGGAAATCCCCCATACTCATCACACAGATCCTTACCCTAACCCCTCCAACGAACATAACAGCCCAAGGGGTGATTACAGAGCTTTCAAAACGCAGATCCTGAAAACTCTCCTGAGCCCCTATTTCTCCTGATTCCATCTCCCCAGACTTCAGCCATTCCCACCTCTTTTTATTGCTCATTATCGCTAGTCTGAGCAAACACAAGCTTCAGCCTGATAAGCAATCAACTGACTTTTCCATAAATATAGATTCTCACGAAAAACAAAAAGAAAAGGGAACAAAATGGAGAGGTGTTATATGTTCAATTTATTTTCGGTTCCAAACCTATTTTTCCCTTAGGCTTGTTGCTTGATTTCCATTAAGTCATTCTGTTTGCTCTTCGCCTTTGCATCAGTTTTTCCTGTTACTCCAGAAAGACTTCAAAAGGATTTTTAAAAATCTATTAGCTTTAAAAAAAAAAATCTATCTTTTTTTTTTCTAGTGGCATTAAAGAAATGGTAGGTAATACCTGGGCATGGGTACCAAGTGTCCTAAAGAAGTATAGCACTGATGTTGCTGAAAAACCTCATATTCAATTTTATGGAAATACTTGTTTTGATCCTTTTCTTCCAGGTCATCCTAATTGTCTTTCCAGCCAAGGCATGTGCCAAACCCTCTAAATATATTCACATTACATTTGTATTTGTTTATTTTTCAATATTCCAATATGTGAAATTAACTCCTAAGAATTAACTCCTAAAACGTCAGCTGATTTAAGGTATGTGTTATCGGAAATTAGTACTCTTACATATTCTTAAGATCAAAGGGCTATATTTTAAAAGCTATGTTTTACTTAACTATTTGATTAATATTCTCTTAAGTAATGTACTGATTAAGAAAAGGCCTTTGCTTTATCTATTAAGGAAGCTTCTACCTAAGAAGCTTTTATTTCATAACAGTATTACTAAGAAGCAAGCATTAAGGCTGGCTAATTATGTCTTTGGATCTAAACCAGAGGAGAAACTCCAATGATGTAAACTGCTATACATCTGATACTTAATAAAAGAAGCTGAATGATCCCTTGAGTCAACACCCATGAACGTAAAGCATTCTGCAAATAAGGAGGGAACATGATCAGCACTATTAATTAAAGAATATTACATCCAGAACTTTGCAATATGTAAGTTACTCTTTGAAAGGAGCTGAAGTGCTCTTACGGGCTGCCCATTAATGCTCTCTCCAAGTGTGCTGAACCTTATCACTGGACATACATTTTGTGCTGGCAGACTGGCCCCGGGGCCATCACGGTTCTTGTGGAAGACCATCTACCCTATCACTTACACTAACACCTGCAGACAGGGATGTCTGGCAGCCCTGGAACTTTATTGTCTAGTTTTGGGTTGATCGGTCTTGAATTGGTTCCAAAGCTCTGTGGGTATCAACACAGCTGGGCACTACAGAACAGTGAGGGCCAGTTATGATGCTTTCACCCTCCTTGACAGCTTTCTTTTCTTTCTTTCTTTTCCGTACTTGAGATTTGATTTATGGACCTTAATTCTTGCTTCCAGGGAGGACTGGCACACTCTCGATACTGTCCATTTAGCTGCCATGGCCAAGTCAGCTCAACAATGGTTCTCAAGACTCATGGTGCGTTTCAGTGAATATCACATTTCTTGTCACACTGGAGCAGAAAATTCGCTTTAGGGTGGTATATGGAGGAAAGTTTCAAGCCCCTGCCGTGGAGGACAGAAACTGTGCATGTCATTCTATACAGACAACTTTGAAAATGGGTTCCCGAGGGTCGCCATGGGCTGCTAATACATCTTGGGGTTTTTGATGGTCAAGAATTATAAAACAGACCTCCCACTATTCACATTATATTCAAAGTTCTTTTCAATTTATAGTCTATAAATATAATGGTGTATACCACGCAAAAGCTACTGTTGTGTTTAAATAATATATTTTTCACTACTTCTTCAGTTGGAAGGTTTTACCATATGTTTCCAAAAGTCCCCTTTTCAATGGGAAAACCGGGGCCAGGGACAAACGAGCTTGCCTTCAGATTACACCAAGGTAACAAAAGATATAAGAAGACAACTTCATTCTCTTTGCCTGTAGAGCTTCAATTCACCTGAAAACAGTACTGCTCTGCACAATTCCATCCTGTAAGCCGTAATGGACAACGAAAAGGGTTTCGTCATTGTCCAAAAACATTTTAAACTGTTCTTACATGAATGCTGCCTTGGAAACTAAAGGAATAATGGGACAGGCCTGGTCTTCTCTGTCTACAATTTTTACTTCTAGAAAGAAGTGTACAATAACTAAAGCATGATCTTAGATATAGTTTAAAGGTTTTCAGAGCTAGCTGATGGGAAGACTAACTAACCACTTTTCAGGCTCTCAAAGAATCAATTAAAAAAATAAATATTAGCATAAGCAAACAGCAAAACGGACCTCATAAATCATCTCTTAGATGTCTCTGAAAATTCAGGGGAAACAAATCACATATTAAATTCCCTGAATATAGCCAAGAATCTCCTAAGAGGTTACTTTATAGGCCTCTACCAAAAGAGGACTGAATCAAGAAAGAAAAATTTCTCTTGGAGTCTGAGAAGTTAGCCTCAATAATGGGATAAATTCTGTTTTGCACCATCCCATAGCATATGGAGACCTCAGATACTAGAACACAATTCAGGCTAAAACCTGAAGAGAGATAAGAGGCAGTAGGATCTTGGTGATTACGTTTATCTTTGGAGAAGACTAGACTATCATGAAACGCTCATAACATTTGCTTTCTGGGGGAGGAAAAGGATGGGGGCTGGCATGGGGATAACTCCCGCTGGAAACCGCAGTCACCCATTGTTACCCATCCTCTGATGGAGGGTTAGGGAAGTTAATTTTCTTCACCTCTGCCAACAGTGACCAGAGAAACAAAATGTAAACAGAGATGGAAACCAGAGACAAGAAATAAAAATGATTTTATTTATAATAAATGAGAAATTACACTCTTATCTTCTAAGGAAGCATAAATGTCCAATTATTGTTAACAGAAGGTGCCATGTGAGTAGTTTTCTAGTACCAACAGGAATGCAGGGTACCATTTATGCAAAATTCACAAGACAGTGTTCCCCTATATCATTCAATCCGTGTATAAATTATAAATTTTCAGAGCATTTAATAGTATACAAACAATAATCAGAATGCTCAACCAATATTCATGCCCATCACAAACACCTCTCTGCCAAAGGCCAGGCTACTTTTAGGACTGGTGATAGCACACGTTTAAGTCAACTGGCTGTAACTGGTTCCATTGCTCATGGGCCTTCTAATTGAGCATCTTCAGATCATGGTTAAGTCAGTGATGGATCCTAACCTTGGACAAATAGAAAATAAGGAACTGCATTCCTTTACGGTTTGAATGGAAAAGCATTGGTGGCTAAAGAGTTTATTATTTAAGCAGCATTTTAAGCCATTGTTATTTTAAAATATGAATGCTATAAATATCCTTCAATTATTCCAGGTCATTAATTTCCATAATATTTCCTTTTATGACTACTTCTAAGCGTCCTTGGTTTTATTTTAAAAGCAAAATAAACATCTACTGAAGGTTAGTCACAAATTTCACAGTCAGCAATGTCTGGATTATTTTAAGAAAGGAGAGATTACCAAGAGAATGATTCTCTCCGAGGTTATCTGACACCATTACTCCACCTTTTAGCTCCTGAACTTGAAACCACGTCTGTGAAATAATACTCTAAAAGTGCTAATGTTAACAACATCTAATGATATAGAGAGCCCCGTGTCAGGCTCTGCGGGCTTGAAACTGTGCCTTTAAATGGCTCTACTCAATCACAGCAAAAGCAAAGGCGATGCCCAAGGAGAGATGTTGTCCAGTGACCAGCTTCTGAAGGCCCCGGCAGCACGCGCCCAGCACACATCGCTGTGCACTGCAGTCCGCAGACCGTCCACAGCGCCCAGGTGCTCTGCATCTCACAGTAAGGATGGCACCTTAGGTTGACCTGGGGCTTTACACTGTGTAAAAACAGAGATGACATCATTTGCTCTGTACCAAAACCTTGGGAGAAAAGCTTGGCTCTCTATTCATCTCACACTTGAGGAATGTTACTCTCAGGACGGTTAGTTAAATCAGAGGCTCCCCAAATTGACTGATCATCACAGTTGCCTGAGGGACATTTGACTCCTGTAGATTCCCAGGCCTCGACCCTGGAGATTCTGATCAGGCAGGTCTTTGGCAACCCAGTTCCCCAAACAGCTTCATGGCTACAATTCTCACCCTTAAGGACAGGAATCCAACATTGTCAGAAGAGGGCTTGGGTTAGCTCTGTTATTAAATATTAGCATCCATTAGCACATTCAGCAAGTACCACATTGAATGCAAAGAGGATTAGAGTATAGTCTCTGTTCTTGGGGACCGCAAAGGTGAGTGGCTTTATGGAATTCGTAAAGTGTCACTTGGATGAGATATGGGCCATGACCAAAGAGAAAGTGGGTAGAAGAATCTAGAGGGGGAAGGTGGAGGAGGGGAGTGACTCAGAAAGGGCTTAGGGTGTAGAGAAGCTGGAACCAAATTTGCCCTGGCTACAATTCCAGTGTAGAATCACTTCTGCATGATATTCTCTAGCACACACACACAAACACACACACATACTCTCTTTGCAGCTTATGCCTCATCAGCATGCTTACATGAACAGATTTGGAGGAAAAGACTGAAAATAGGAAACGCTTATCTAGTGCTTACTATGTAACAAACCCTTACAGCAATCTACACATCTTGACTCATTTAATCCTCACAAAGACCCTAAAAGGCAGGCACTATTGCTATTCCATTTTACAGAGGAGAAAACTGAGGCACAGAGAGGTTAAGTAGTTTGCCTGTGGTCACACAGCTAGTGAGTGGTGGTCTTGGGTTTGAACCCAGGCTCCGGCCTCTCTGCAGATGACCACTGACACGCACCTCTCTTCTCTTGTGGACAAGTTTCATTTGCTGAAGCTGGTCCCTGCCCTCCACACTCCAGTTCTGACTTGATTACTGAATTCAGATATAATAGGTATCTCAGAGAATGTAATCACAACAAGCTTGCTCTATCAGCTCCCTGTTTGCAATTAAACGGAGACACGCTACAACAACAACATCAATAATCCCACAGAGGAATGAGGATGTCTGGACTGACAACTTAAAGTATCAGGAGCCGTCAACTTTCTGACAGCCAGGGTAGCGCTTTAAAAAATACCTGCCTGCTGTTTGCCACAAGGACGCTCCCGAGGGTCCCTTACAGGATCCGTCTATAGATCCTGACTCAGTTATATACCCAAAATACCCAAACCTGAAGAAATGATGACAACGAAAAATGTAGGCATACCAACCACTACCCACCAAACGTCACTGACGCCAGTCAAAGAATTACTGATTAGCCTGGAGAGTACTGCCAGGCGAGCCGTGCACTTCGTTGCTCATCTTTAAAATTCCCCAGAATGTGTAAAATAAGTGTCTCTATGGCCTAAGGCTTCCTCTGATATTCACACTTCTTTTTAAAAAAGGAGTTTGTAGCCAGCCCTCCTTTTCAACATGTTTTAGTTTGCCAAGCTGAAAATACGAAGCACAATGGTTGGGCAAAAGGATAAGAACACGTAACTTCACACTGACGATCTTTTTATTCAACAGAAGAAGGTTTCTTCTCTTTTTCCAAACCAGGGCAAGGACAGGTGCCATGGGGTACTGTGGGAATGAAATGGGACAGTGCATGTCAAAGAGCTTGGAAAAGCCTTGCACTAATTACTTGCTCACCTTCGGGTCAATTAATGATTTGGTACTCAGTGAAATCCTCCAAGGTTGGGCCCGTAACGATGATGCTCTCCCCATCTCTCAGCACAGCTGCATAAGGCCACGGAGCAAGTTAGGTAAGTGCCGAGGAGTCGGAAGATGACACGGCCTCCCACTTAGGCGGGGCATTAGCCCGCATCCTCTCTACCAAGAGGAGAGTTCACATGTGTCAGCCTCTGAATGTGCAAGTGCAGATGGGATTCTCTCAAAACCTTTTTATATCAGCGGGGGACAATCATACTTACTTACAGGCAGTGTTAATAATGGGGCAATTTTGCAAATCCAATAGAAAATTATTTCATAAGTGACGCCATATGTGGTCAGATATGACTAAAAGGAAAATATTTTCATTCAACCATTGCCAAAATATACTAGAAAGTTAAAAAAAATTAAAATTTGGGGGGAAGGGATAAACAAGCAATGATGGAGATCCTGTCTTGGGAGAGAAGCATCTCCCTGCACAGATGAGGGCCCAGGAGGAGGTGGCTGTGTTGTAGAGCGCACTCATTCATCCCCAAGAATTCTCGTGAGCTACCAAAGGACACTTCTCCATTTGGAAAACAAACAGGGGCTGTATTGCTAGTTTGCAAACTGCTTTGAAAACTATGGAGGACAAATAAGTACATATAGTGGCTTCAATAATACTCTGTGCATTATATAACTTTGTATCAGAGCTGTTTTTTGTGACTGCATTGGGAAACATTTTAATGTATTCATTTTAACTACAAATAGTCACCTCATTTACCTTTAAGCACTTGAAAATTCACCAAGTATAATTTTAGCCTAATTTCTTATGAACCTCCGTGTAACCAGTGTAGGGAGGCCACCTCTGAACTCAGAGTTCAGTCCCTCAAAGGGATTAAATCTTAAACACACCACCACGTCGACTGCTTTGGCTGATCATGCTTGGTGTCATTAGTTTCTATTTAATATGGCAGCTGATGCCTTGTGGTCCCTTGCAAATGGGGGAGAGCGGAGCCTTGGAGAGAAGTGAATTATAATTGCCTGCCGCAGGACTGTGTGGCGCTGCCTGTGACAGCGGCAAGTGGAGAAAAGAGGAAAGCATTAGAGAAGGTCTGTTGTACTGATGAAGTGGAATTCCTAGAACACACTGTGCTATAAAATGAGATTTGGCTCCACAGTGCTGGGAGCAAACAATGGACTCAATAGTACCCAGCACTGGTTGCTGGGCATATTCTAGCTCCTTTAGTCGGAGCTGCCTTTCATTCAAGGGAGCAGGAGCCACGCTGGAGAATGGAAAGGAGAGGGTGTACTCCTGGTCCAGAGAAATCCTGAGAATAGGATGTTAGGGGAAAAAAACCAAGAGACTTTCAACCCCAGTGAATACCACGATAAGACATCCTTTCACACTCAACACAGTACAGCTTCAACCAAGTCCATAATTTTTTTTGGATAACTAACTAAAGAAATGACTAGAAAAATGTGTGCAGCCTCTTTAGTTGGGTTATTATAGCTCATGTTTTAGAAAGATCTGGGTGGAGGATGGGTCCTTCTTAGATCTTTCTCTCTGGAAAAAGATAGAGAAAAGGAAGCTTTAACAAGCAGAGGTAGGAGTGGGGGCTGCAAAGAGTTGGGGGGAGCCCTCTATTCTATGTCCTAATCTGGACATGATCTGAGTTCATGAAAAACAAGCAATGAACAGTAACATCAGTAAACATATGCTAAATCACCTATTATAAAACTACATCCTGCCTTAGAAAGAAATTGTCAGTCTCTAGATGGGTAACAGATTCTACTAGTAATCAGCCAGGAGGTAAGAGTTTGTTTCCAACTTGCAAAATTGAGAGGAAAAGAGAGGGGAGAATTCCTACTCAAAAACTGCCCCAGGCACTAAAAAGACAGTTTAACTGTTGAAATCAAAGACAGTTAATCGTAGCCTGTACAAGTAGGAGCAAATCCACCTAATTATGAATGGGGCATTGTCAAACCAGTTTGCCCCTGAAATACTCATTTTAAACTAACTTAGGCTTTAAAAAAAATCCATTTGAACCAAAAAATTTGAACAAAATTATATTGCAGCTATTACTAATCAATTACAATTAAAGGTATGAAATGAAGTACATAGATTCTGTTTGAGGGTTCACAGGTAGGTAATAGGTAATCATTTTCATAAAGTATTTGTTCAAAAAATACTGCATAGAAACTAAATTCATGAAGAAAATTCTGCACTTCGAGGCTTGCCTTGGTCGGGGGTGGGCAAAGTCCCAATGAGCCCTGATTTGCCACCTTTTTGAAAGGGTTCAGTTGTTAAGCACATACACACACACAAAACAGACACTACATATCCCTGTTGGAGGTTTCATGTCAAGGAGCCCAGGAACCAAGAATCCCTGAGTATGGGAAAGCTCAGTTTCCAGCAAGGCGCCCTCCCTAAGCCGGGAAAGGCCGGCTTGGGCGCTGAGATGGTCACTGGCAGGTCCAGCCCATTCCTGCCTTATTTGTTCAGATCATTAGGAGGGTGCCAATTAGCGCCTATTTTCATGAAGCTTTTTGTGTTATGAACATCTGTCCACTAGCATCTGGCCAGGGCCCAAGTCCATTTCACGAGAAACACCAAACAGCTGTCAGATGGCCCTGAGTTTGGGTGAATATCAAAATGAACACAATCGTTCCTGGCCTGGAGGAGGGGCCCCAGTTCCTATCGTTCCTATCATCCATCTCTGGCTGGACCCAGTCTCCAAGCTCTGCTTGTTAGCACATTTCCTAACTCCTGACTAGCAATTTCCTTATTTTTGTAAATTAGGCTTTGCCCACCGGAGTAACACTTGGGACAGATAAAGCCAGAATTAACTTGTGTTTGCTTGAGAGCTAATGATCATTTGACCCTCGTTTTTCTTCTTCAATCACCCAACTCCTTTTCTGCCTTCTCATTACCTCAGGGAAGCAGGGATGACAGCTGAGTCGGAACAGGGATTTACTTTCCAAACCATCCACTTTGCTGTGTAGTGGACCAACTATCAGGTTTTGTGAAAAACAAGTGTTTAAAACCAATGAATCAAATTGACATTTTTGTCTTAGTGGGGTAAGTTCATGCCACAAGTAACAAAGTTTTGTTGCAGAAAATAAACTTTTTATATTTATACATTGATTTTGAGTTAGATATTAAATTACCAGAGATCTTTGGGCCCTCTTTGTTAGTGAAAATTCCTGAATGTTGTGATTCCAGGTA